ATCCTACCCTAACTCTAACAACCCACTGCTAAACCATGTTCCTGAGCACCACATCCTAATGGTTTTTAAACACATCCAGGGATGGTGACTCAACCACCTCCCTGGGGAGCCTATTCCAGTGCTTAACGACGCTTTCTGTAAATAACTGACACTTAGTTATTGTTCAGGGCTAGTGTGACAAAATCTTGTAGTTTTATTTTCATTTCTAATACAATAAGGGATCAGAAATGTTCTGTGCAACAGGCAGGGAAAGATTCAAAGGATTGCTGTGTTCAGAGAAGAGAAAGGTGTTTTTCTTCAAGAGGAGGGCACTTTTCACTTGCAAGTGAAAGTAATCCATTAGAAGAGAAGCCCATGCAGCCAACACACGTGAGCAGATCAAAGGCCCAATGAAAGTGCTCTGGGAGATGACAGAAGTGGCCTGCATTCACTCTATAGACTTATCTGTATCAATGAATATTGCAGCTCATTATAGCTGAAATTGGCTGGGAGCCAGTATTTGTATAACAGAGCCAAATGGAGGAGAATAGAGGAGGAACTCAGAGGTCAGTGAAGAGTAGAGTGTAAATGGAGTATGCAACAATACTGCAAATGGCAATTTTGGTTGCATTAGTCATTTTCTGATATGCTTCAAGTAACATATATATATTCTTAACAGTAAACAACTCTTGCTATCTCCTGAGCTGAAGGAGAGACTGTCTGCCATTAGATCAGGTCAAAAAAGAAGATTAGTGGTTTTATGCCAGTATTCTGAACAGTGGGAGGCTGTTCTGTGGGAGGTTGAACAGTAGGAAGCAGTTCAGTGGGACTTTGGAGGGACTGCAGCAGACACAGAATGTGTGAACCACAGAGGAATATGAAAGATAACTTAAAGTAAGTGAATTCATTTGGCAGAGCACTGTTTTGAGAGATTAGCAGACATACTGACTACAGAAAAGTACCTCACAAGAGAATTTCACTTTCTGTGGTAATTGAAACACTGAGATAAATGACAGCAATGGCCATCTTTGATATAGCTACATAGACCAGATCAGGCCTGATAGACAAATGAGTTGATTTTTGGCTCATATTTAGATTTGAGCTAATGCTCAAAGCACTGACTTCTTACAGGAAGGTTGTTCAGTGTTTTATGTAAAATAAATCAGAACTGTCCTCTGTAACCCCTTTCAAAAATGAAGACAGGAAACAGTTGTAGAGCAGAATATATTATAAAAAGGGGGAAGTCTGGTTAAGAAGTAACACAGGAAGATCGGAGGAATGGGACAGAAATTGCACACATAAATTGCACTCAAAATGGCAGACAATGAATAAGTAGTATAGGAAGGAATGTACATTTTCAGAACCACAGTGGAGTGTGATGTAATATCCCTTGCCCTTCACCAAAGTAATGCAAAATAATATGCATTTTCATGAATAAATTCTACTCTTAGTCTACAAAGCACTCTCACGTGCTTTTATTGTGAAGAAGCATGGGGAGAGGTTAATACTCCGCTGCCCAGGCGAGAGTTGCTTTGTGTCCAATGTTCAGTGGCTCTATTCTCCATGGCCCTGCATTTTGGTAACAACAAACCCAGTCAACCCTACAGTTTTGGAGAGGAGTGGTTAGAAAGCTCCTGATGGAAATGGACCTTGGTGTACTGATGGACAGTGAACTGAATATAAGCCAGCAATGTGCCCAGGTGGTCAAGAAGGTCAATGGCATCCTGGCTTGTATCAGGAATGGTGTGGTGAGCAGCACTAGGGAAGTAATCCTGCTCCTGTACTCGGCACTGGTGAGGCCTCACCTTGAGTACTGTGTTCAGTTTTGGGCAGCTCAGTACAGAAAGAACATTCCAACAGTCCAGAGAAGGGTGACAAGGCTTGTGAAGGGCTTGGAGAGACTGAAGGAACTGGGGCTGTTTAGCCTGGGGAAAAGAAGGCTTGGAACCTGCTGATCCTTGAGGTTGCTTCCAACCCAAGCCATTCTGTGATTCTATGACTTTCAACTGGGCTGTAAAATGGCAAGAATGAAGATTTGTCCTGAAATCTATACCTTAACAACAACCACAGTCAGTTCACAGAGGTTCCAATTCCACTTGCATGACCTTTCCTTGGCATGGTCTTGGAACTACCTTATTCACCTTTTGAAGTATAGGATTATATTCTGTATGAATTTTAATTCTGGCATCATGAACTGCATGCTGGATACCATGTTATTATTCTTTTTTGTATGCCATACCCATTGGAAGTTAATTCAGTAAAACACACAAAAAACTCCAAACCCACCAAAAACAAACAAAAAGCAATAACAGCAACAAGAAGAGCATGCAGAAAATGATCATGTGAAATGAAAGATGAATTATTTGAGCTCCTATTTCATAGCACTCTGCATCTCATAATGCTCTATAAATAAAACTAACACTCTACAAATAAAACTGAATACATAAAGACTGTATTTTAAAATGGGTTATTATCTCCTACCGTACAAGATCTAAAACTACTGGTACTAATACTGTCTTATCCAGTTTGCAAAGTAGTGCAATCACCGTAGCTATTATAAAATAGTCCTACAACCCTGTGACTCTATTCTGTAAAGTCATAGCTGATCTTCTATGTATTTTTCTGGGACTGTGTAGTTCTGCCAACCATGTACAACACCTGAGGGTTTGGTTATTTGAATATCTCTGTGTTACTTTGCACATCCCTACCCTACTTTCTATTCTTTGCTTTGTATCTATGAAACTCCATAAAAGTCAAGGGTAAGAGGGAATTTGACCTCATGTTTCCTGAGCACAAGGACTCTCCTGTTAAGAGCAGTTGCAAGGAGTTGTGAACAAAGTGATATAAATGATAGAGCAACAGGTGTAACCCGCGACAGAAAACTAAAGCATTATGGGAAAAAAAAAAAAAAAATCTCTTTATTGAAACAAAGCATTTATTTCTAGAAGAAGAAACAAACACTCTCTTCGCAGAAACTAAGATGTCCAAAGAGTATATGTGGACTACTAGCCACTGAGATGGGAACTGCCAACAGAAACACTGTGCTCTTATACCAACTCAATAGCAAACAATGTGTTCCTGGAGGCAACATCTATTACCATCACTTGAATACATGAAACTTTGGCAACTACCCATGTATGAAAATAGATTCTGAAATAAGAAAATACTTTCTTTTCAGCACCTACTCAAATATCTTAGTTTAGATTGTGCTGAAACTAAAGGGTAGCTGATATCCACATTAATTCTGACTGACAATTTTATGGGAAAATCTGGGAAGACCTCTCCCCCAAGATCATTCATATGGAGAACATATTCCAGATTAACCTAGCTGGCTGCCAGATGTCACTCCTATTCCACTGCTAAATAGCTCCCAGTTTCAGACTTAAGTTGCCTTCAGTGTATTGCAGCCTGGAAAGTGGCCATGGAAACTTCTAGCTTGGTATGCAGGGTTTGTTCATTGTTAGAAAGGGTTAAACAATTTTTTGTGCTAAAAGCACAATAGTGCTGTGGCACTTAAGAGAGGGTAAGTTTCACTACCAAGGCTGTTTTTGAGACCAAACTAGAGTGTCATTATTGCATAATGCTAATGCTCAGAGCACATCCTGTCATATAATAAAATCAGACAATGTAATCAGCAGATGGAGCACAGAAGGGGAATAATGTGACTTTTTGGTCCATTTGCATTACCATCTAGTAAGGAAAAAGTATTTCTTACCTACAAACTTCTCCATTTGTTCAACTTTATAAAATGAAAAGCTGTGTTAGAATAGTTATGTGACAGTAGGTGATTGGGTGTTTTTCCCTAAAAGTATTTACTAACATGATATATCTGAAACATGCTGAGCCATTCTACAATGACTTCTGACTGTAGACTGTCAGAGTTTTTCCCCTTAGCTCCTTCACAAATTCTGCTTCATATTGCTGACATATTTCATAACTTTCATTCATTGTCTATCCCTATCCTGCTTGGAGCCTGAGGGTGTCTTTCATCATAATCACTCTTTTTAGTTCCTGCCTGGTTTTACTTTCTTCAAGGGCATATTCACTGAGCATTCCTTGTCCTGAATGTTTAATTTACTCCCCCAGCAGTTTCAGTGACATCATGCAGGAAGGGAAGCTATTTTTCAGGATTAGAGAAAGTGTCAGTATCTGCCTTTTGTACTTTCATTCTGGATGTGGGAGCATGCCCATGTCAGTCTAGTGTTTTGTCTAAAGTTGATGGGAAGACTATTCTCTTTTTTGTTCACTCTGAAAATAGGATTTCTTTGTGAATGTGTTCTTTGTATCTCTGAATTGCCTTCTAGTAGAGTACAAAAGAGAGACCTGACATTCAAGCAATTTTCAATGTGTCACTGACAGAATTAGTGGGTATTTTCAGTACAGCTCAGAACCTAGAAATCTAGCTTTAATGTGATGAACACTGAAATTCAAGCATCAACAACTCTGTTGATGCAGGATTTATGCAGCTAGGACACAAGGGTTGACTCAGTAACAGCTTTTTACTCAGAAATTTAAGAAGGTCTTGCTGCTATTCTGTTGCATCTCTTGAGGCCTTAGCACTTCTTACCTCCACAACAGGGAAAAGTCTGTCAGGAGCCCCACATCTAGATCTTCTGGAAGAAATTCCTGCACAGGAATTCACCAGTTCTCTGATAAATGTTGCTACTAGGGTTTTTGTCTTTTGGCTAAAGACAGTAAAGAACCATCTAATCAAATCTATTCACTCTTGAAATACATTAGCCAGGCTCTGGCTCATCAAAGACTTTTAATTTAGGGCACAAAACTAATCTTACAGTATTACAGACTTAAAGTCTAAGGGCTTTTGTCAAAACTAAGAATGCAGGGGAACAGTTAATACTCTTCTTAGCCTCATCCAGCAGCTACCAGAAGGTTCACCTTGGTCAGAGAAGGAGGAATCTCTTTCATTTACTGCTTCTTCACTCCATCTGCTATTATAAAAAGAGAAAGATCAAGGTTACATTATTTTGTGCTGAAGTTTTTCTCTCCTGACCCCTTCACAGATGGGAAATTGGGAAATGGAACACCTGCAGTCTTACGTGTGGGGTTGGATTGCAGACACGAGATGTCTTCTGTTCTCACCTACTATCAAGAGAAAGTAATGAGACCGTGATTTTAGCAGATGAATTGTGCCATAAACCTAAGCCATCGCTTGTACAAGCCTGTAATCGCTTCGACTGCCCGCCCTCCTGGTATACTACAGAATGGCAAGAGGTAAGAATGTATGAGGTAATCTCGTTAATTACTGTTTAAAGTAGTCATTGAATAGATTATCAGTAAGTTGTTTTGCATTAGCCTGTCAAGAAAATTCATTTTCTGTACTGAAGAACTAGTTAAAAAATTAGAAGTGTGTCTTTTTGCTTTTTAGTGAAGACTGAATTAAAGTTTTAATTGGCAAATAATGGCTGTTGCTACTTCTAAAGCAAAATTAACTGATAACATTTAATGCATAAATACCAGATGTGTTCTGTGATTAATGTGATTGATGGTCAGCTGAATTTGGATTAGTAATGCCAGGATTTCTAAGAATACAAAGCTATAAGGATCAGGAAGGAGAGGATCTGTTGATCTTGCTGAGCATTCCTTCTATTCTCATATAATTTATTTTAGAGCAATGATCTCTCCTCATCCCTCAAAGTCACAAATGAGCACTGGGTACTTCACTTTATGAAATTCATTCTTTATTACACTATTACTGAAAATTCCTATCTACACAGTGGATGTGCACAAAGCTCTTAACTAGGCAGCCTGAAATGAGTTTATTTGCTGCCATTTGGTTGCAAAAGAAAACACTTAAGCAATTCAAAAGACCTAAGGGTGCTTATGTTGGATATAATCTTCATAGGAAGAAATTACTCTGTCCCGCTGATGAGAAACAAGGGAAAAATCACTGCACAGAGGAGGTACAAGCAAAAGGCTTATTTAAGCCTTCAGTTCTACTGGTGTAAAAATTCATTCCCTTCTATCAGAAAACCACGAGCACTTGGCATTGTACTTACATGTGACTCCCAGTCTCCATCTATAAAATCTACCCTTGACTGAGCAGCCAGGGAAATGTTAATGTAATAACCTAATGAAGCTGTTAAATCTGTGAAACTGGACTTCACAGGAGACCTCTGGATTTGGGCAGCCATCCCAGCAACCAAAATTTATGCCAGCCTGATATTCTGTCAAAGCTAGATGACTAGCCTATGGTGTTAGTCCATTGTTTAAAACAATTGAGCAATATTTCATGCCTTATTGCTAATTTGTCTACCAGTATTCACATACATCTATTTACTTAGTTGTACTTTTAAATATTACTAGACTGTACTCACACATAAATGCTGCATTTGTAAATAGCAAGTCGTTTTTTTACTAACGCACAACAAAATAAAGATATACTGTAAGGTGTGCCTGTGTTTGTTAAAAAGCCTATAGCTGGCGACAGTCCTTAGAGAAAACAGTTTTCTGCAAGTTTATTTGAACAGTCAGAAGAAGCATTCATTATAGTATACTGAAAAATTGATGCTCTGCTAAAAATGGCTGTTGGCTGTAGGCCAGTCTGGAATGTACTAAAATAGCTTCTGTGAGAAATATTTCCAGATAGACTTTTTTTCAGGATTAGAATGTCTTCCTCAGCAGCGTAAACATACACATGTCTGCCTGTCTAAAGCAATGTTTCAGGTTTATTTTATATTTTCTTGGGGACTCTCAAATAACCAGCCTTTTTGCAGGAGATGTGGCAGATCTTAGGGAGGATGGAGCCCAATTAAATATAAAGGGCTTTAACAAACATATCAATCAGGAATTAAATTAGACAGTTCAGGTTGCATTTCATGTCTTAACCGCTCACTTCTCTGGACTGGGTGGAGACAGAGGATCTGTACTGCAGTTCACTGCTGTGGCTTAACGAAGGGCACGTTATAGCTCCTCTGCACTTTCTTCCACAAACTTTGCAGGATGCTCTGCTTTTTAGATAACACCTCACCATATGGGCACTGAATATTTCTTGTGATTAACTTCCATTAGGAGAAAATGGCATAAGCACTGCAATTCTGCACTGAAAATAATCATCTGCCTCTGACAGGAAGAATATAGAGCTACAAAATGCAGATATCCTTCAAAACGAATTTCCATCCTCTCATTTTCTTAAAGGCTTTCTGTCTCCTTTCTCTGCACCACCACCTTCTGTAGTGTAATTTCCACCCTGTAACAAGGCCAGGCCTGGAAGTTCTGCCAAACAAGTTTCCCATGGATGACCTCCATGTAAAAACCTGCATCATCAGGACTGTGCATTGCACTGTATAATTATTACTACCACAGGACTTCTGGAGCAGGCAAGAGATGATCTGGATGAGATGTTGATAGCCAAAACTTAACTGGAGGCTAACAGTGGCTGTGCAGCAGGGATGCCACACCAGGAGGCTGCTGAAGAGGCCTGCAGACCTTGTACCTGCAGATCTTGCACAAAACTCCTATTGCCCTGGGTCCCTGAAAAATATTTCTACATGTGTGGAGAGTCGTGCAGAAAGGTGCTTTCTCATAATAAGAAAGGTACAAGCTTTATACACAATAGAAAGCAACATCTGTTCTCCTCATGGCACAGATTGAAGACATTTATTTGGTCTCATCTATGGAGCTCATCCTTCTTTTCCAAGCACTCTCTCAAAATAGATTTTCAGCAAACAAATAAACAGGAGATTAAAACTGCAATACACAGCATTTTCTCTTCTAAGACTCATTATGCTTGTTGAGGAAGGATTCTCTGAATTAAATGCCTTTAAAAGCCCTAGTGTTTCTGGCAGATAAACACAGGATAATTATCAGTGTAGTAACATTCCAAGTGATTTTTAAAATATCTCTTTGCAGATCAAGACTATGTATTTTTAAACAGTTTTATTTCTCAGCTAAATGCATTAGGATGTTAACTTGTTTTCAGTAGTATGTTGCTGCAGGAAAGTAGATGTGAGCTTTCATTTTTACAAGCCTTTGGAAATATCTGTTCTTCAGACCACAAATGGGAGACATCCATTAATAAATTTTTGTCTTTATTTTATTACTAAGTCACAGTCTGAGTCTTTTTGTCTTGCTCAGAGCTATCTTCACTCCAAAGATAATCAGAACAATAGCTTGACAACAGAGTTAGCATGGGAAAGCTCTTATCCTTTTCAGATATTTTCCTAGCTATTTTTCTCTGTATTGTAAGATGTCCTTTCTAAATATACTTGTGATAATCCTTGGAAATCAGCTGAGAGAAATGCGTATTTTCCCTATGTAGATGCTCTATCTTGCTGTAGAATCACAGAATAAAATTGATTTTTGAGAGTAAAACCATAGCTTGTGCTGTTGTAGTCCCGTCACCTTGAGCAGAGGGCTGTGTGAAATTAAACGGCTCACTCCTCACCTCTATCTGTAAGTAGGACTGGCCGTAGCATTACACCCTTTCAAAGATTGGGCCATTGCCAAAGGCACCTGAAGGGGAGACCATCTTCCCTGACTCCTAAACTTTGAAATTGGTGTCTTTGCCCAAATTCTGTGCAGTAAATGCATGTGAGAAGATGCACATAGGCACGCGCTGAGAGATGGTTGGCTTTTCATCTCTACTTTTAGTGGTAACTATGTTAATTGTAATTTTTGCAGGCTGTTATATGAGCAGAATAGATCAAAGCAGTGATTGCTCTTGGAGAAGCCAAGGCTACAGTTCTGTCAGCAATTCAGAATGAAATGTGTCAGTACTTCTACCGAAGGAGACCATGGCTGCTATGGAAAGCTCTTCTTGCCCTCACAGTGCCTACTCCCTTGCATCTCTGGAAGTGCTGTGCAGTCAACATGATGATTTGGCAAAAGCTAGGCAGAAGTATAATTGACTTTAAGCCTAGACTAACCTTCCACTCTGGCTCATTGTGCAACTGCACAAATACTTATGCTGGCATATGGGCAAAGACAGCAAACACCAGCAATGACTGGCTGGCAGAATAGGATATATGGATCATCTTCTCAGGCATCAGCCTTGTCTTATGTTTTCTTAAGCTAATTGTTGAACTAGGCAAAATTGTGTATCAGTGTGGGTAGATGCAGCTCTCAAAGTCACAGATCTCCTCTGAAAAGGATATAGGAACTGGGTGTGCTCAGACACTGTGGAAGGTAGGAATACCAGGAGACACAGTGCAAACACTTTACCTACCTGGATAGTTGAGCTGAAGCCATGGCACACCTCTCCTTCCTGTGACACAAACACCCTTCTCTATCATAATACTGCTGTGAAATCTTTCTGAACAGCAGAGAGAGAGAGAGGGAAAAAGCACATTGTTCAGATGGGATGCATCTAAATAAGGATCCTCTCAAGAATTACTGCTTCATACCATCTGTAAATCCAAACAGACGTTGCAGACATTGCTCTCATTGGTCTATTCCCTTTCAAGAAATAATGTGAGAGCTGGAAGCTTCCCCTAGAAAAAAGTCAGCAAAGATCATAGACAAATGAAAAGGCTCCAAAAGTGAAAGATGGGCACATGCACAGTTCCAGTGTAATAATCCAGTACTGTCCTAGAAGAGCATTCCTGAAGACTGGGAGGAATCTTGTTACAGTGTTTGGCTCTCTGTCATTTGGCATGGAGTTTGGTATTGAGTAGCTAGTTATTCTTCAGAGAACAAAGCAGAGCAGTGTGCGTGACTGAAGTGCAAGAAGCAAGAAAAGATCTGTTTTGTCTTAATTTTTTTTTACCTCTTAGAAATGGAAGGGCAGGGAGACTTCCTGGGATTTGTTTGACTGACAGAGGGAACATGCTTTTGTTGTGTTTATACAGTGCCTAACATATTTTGGCTCTAGTGTATGGCTGCAGTTCTTAGGCAATCTTGAAATAATATTTTTAATCATATTTTTTCGTGATCAGTTCTTTCCTCAGAATGAATTGTCCGTGAATGAAATGCTGATAAATGTTTTCTTTTGCTGAAAATCGAGATACTGTCTTGAATTTTTTTAAGCTTTGATTTTTGAAGTTTTTGAGCTTTATAGCATTCTCAGTAAAATAAAAGCTTTTTTTACTCATTAAAGGGCAAACTAAAGATAAATACATTTTTCTTCATGGTGTTCAAGTTGCACTTCCATTCTGTCTTTCAAGGAAAATGTATATCCTAAAAAAAGAGGTTCATGTTGAAGTTTATACAGCAGTCTCAGAGAGGGATCTTTCATAGATTTTTTAAATAATTCCTTTCATAGGTCATAAATCATAGAATCATAGAATGACCTGGGTTGAAAAGGACCACAGTGATCATCTAGTTTCAACCCCCCTTCTATGTGCAGGGTTGCCAACCACTAGACCAGGCTGCCCAGAGCCACTTCCAGCCTGGCTAGATGTCTTTGTTTATCTTTTAATTTTTCTTCACCTGGTTTACTACATCTTCAACATAATTCCTGTGTTGTAAACTATAAGCAACTTCTGGTAATTCCAGCATAGTGCAAGCTCTTCATCCTCCTTTGATAGGAAAAGAGATAAATGGGGTTAAACTGCCTGGAATGCACAGGAGACTCAGAAGCCTCCTGCCATCCACAGCAAAAAGTTAGTCAGAAAAAAGGGCTGAGCCACCAAGCTTACAAAAATGATTCAGGAAATCTATTAAATCTGCTTATTCAAAATTTCCTGCCCTGCATGAGTAGAAAATGGATACAGAGGGGGGATATTTACATTAAGGAGAGAGGGGAGGTGGGTTCTCTGGATATTAATCAGCCAGATTTAGTTTTACTCAAATAAACCTTCCTCCTTACCTTTTGGAAAGAGCACGCACCGCTGTCATGACAGCCATAAATATAAAAGGGCTGCGTGGTTATTTAATCGTTTATTATACTAACCTTATAAACCAATTGTTGAGGCCAACAGCAGATTGCAGCTGGAATACAGCTTTCACATGATTTAAAAATGAGAGAAATGCTGCACTGCAAGAAGTCTTCAAGGACAGGAATTCAAGTCTGGACAGTTTAGTTTTGAACTGCACTGGTAACAGACCTCATGACATTCAAAAATGAGATATAAGAAAATTACCAACGGAAGAGAAGGCAAAGTGATAAACTAGGGAAACTTACTTATCACACTCAATGTGTGTAGATTTGTTTTTCTCACTAACGCAAACTCTTTTTTAATACGCTGAATTTGAATAAATATTTAGACCATAGCTATTGTTATCTAATATGCATAATAAAATCCTGGAAATGAATAAGGTCTTGAACTGATTTCTTCTGAAGGAGACATTTCCATACTCTCTCCCCCTGCCAGTAGCACAGTTGGAGCTCAGACAGAAACGCTTGAATCTAGATCCTCCACATCCTTTGCAAGCACCTGATTTTCCAGTTGACAGATAGAGGAAAGGGCAACTTTTCTTCCTCCATGTTGCATTTCTGTACAAATTTCTGAAAACAAAATCTTTCAGAAATACTGAAGCAGGTTTTGTTTGCTTGTTTTTCATTTTATCAAAATATTTTTTTTCCACTTCCCAAAATATTTTTGACATTTTAAAGAGAAATCTGCTTTGGCATCTCTGACATTTTTTGTTATATTTTCTGCTTGTCTAGGACTAGGTGTTGATTTCTACAGAAACTCATTACTAATTTTTGCTGCAATTTGACGTAGTGCAAGTGTGATGCAAGGTGACTGACTCTTTTCTCCCAGTGTTCACAGACATGTGGAGGTGGTGTCCAGAAGCGAGATATACTTTGCAAGCAGCGTCTGGCAGATGGAAGCTTGTTAGAGCTGCCAGAAACATTTTGCTCCATGCCGAAGCTGATTTCCCAGCAAACCTGCAAAAATGAGGACTGTCCTAATGAGTGGCTTCTTTCTGACTGGTCACAGGTATGCTGTTTATATGCATGAATATTGTGCTGGTTTTGGTGATTATGTTTCTCAGTCACGTGGGATGAAGGAACCAAAAGTGTTCAGACTGCACAAGGCCTACTGTGCCTAGTTTTCCTGTAATCCGTACTTAATATTCTAGTAGGTGATGTAATGATCAATAGCTTGGTGGTTATTACCTCATCTCTACTACAGATGTGGTTTAGCCTTCCAACCAGAACAATTTATGCCTTCTTTCTGGCATAAACACAATCCATGCTCAAAACAATAAATTCCTGCCTCTGTCCATATGTTCATCCAAGACATTCATGAAGTGTAATCTTCACTCCTTCAGGCTTAGTGCTTTTCCTTCCCAAAAAGAGGAGGGAAGGCAAAGTTAAGAGAATTATTTCAGTCTTTTGTAGGTATACCACTGTCATCTCTGTCAGGCCTGTCACTCTTGGACTCTAATTTTGTATTGTTAGCTGGTTCCTTCCTTCCTTCAATTTAAGGAGGGCCAAAAAAGCGTCTTTCTACCAAAGTCTTGCATTCCCAGACTTCCTTTCTAGTTCCATATGACTTAAGAAAAAATTCCTTTACATATATGACAGCAAAAAGGAAAATATAATTTGATATTTTAATGTCCGTAAGCATGAAAAACACTCCCCCTCTTGCAATCTAATCTCTACTCTCTTTGTTCTCCTTCATGCAAAGAGGTAGAAAGTACCTTAATCCTGAAAGAAACACCAGTCACCTCATAGAGCCTACCTGTAGCCTTAATGTGATGGTCTATCTTGACATTTTATTCAAATAAGCTATTAAACTCATGAAGTCTGCATTAAGACACACCCATTCAGGCATTGAAGATGGCAATTCTATTCCTAATCATCTTTCCTTCACGCAACGTGGTTTATGTTTATATCCATGCAACTCATATTTCTGTATGTTTGCACACTTTAAAATGAAATCTGACTTCACTCTCCTCACCATTTGTCTTAAAGTCTGCCTTTTTTCTCTTTTTATCCTCAGTTTCTTTTCTCCCTCTCACTCCATCTCCAATGTGGTTCACAAGTGTGTGTTACCTTGTAGGTACAGGATCTACAGCAATGGGTTTGTATCCCTTACAGGCCTTCCCCCTGCTTGCCAGCACTTTTACATGTGGACAGCCCTGTGCAATCCAGTTTATTCTCAATTACGATGATGCTGTATACACAAGTATGAAATAAAATAAGCCTGCTCAAATTCTTCCAAGCTGTGGCACACCTATGCACTGAGCACTATAGTTTAATATTAAAGGGTTTGAACTCTTTTCCATGGATATCACAACTGATAACTACTAGGCTGAAGTAACTCAGTATCTGAAACACACAGTCATCATTTCTAGTAGATCTGTAAACATCATCCCTAATGTTTGTCATTCTGTTTGCAGTGTTCAGTGAGTTGTGGAGAGGGGACCCAAAGTCGAAATGCTATTTGCAGAAAGATGCTGAAAACTGGGGGTTCTGTTATCATCAATTCCTCCCTGTGCCCACCTCTGCCATTCTCATCCTTACTCAGGCCCTGTGCACTAGCAACCTGTGCAAGTAAGTGAAAAATAAATTTAGGAGTGTATGGGGAAAGGGGGCTTGAATATCCATCACTAGGAAATTCATACAGTCACATGCTTCATAACATTCTTTTGCACTAGTGTTGCTCAGTATTTGTGGAGTGGCTACTGCACCTCAGTTTTTCTATGAGCCACAATATTCTTTTTAACAATAAAACAAGTCACTGGATAAAATTTATAAATCTTAGTGTGGAGTTGAGTCTGAACCAATGTGCTGGAAAGAAATTAGTCCTTTCTGGAAGAACTGGCTCAAAATTCTGTTCCAAATCTAGATCTAGATTTCACAGCTGCAATGTAGAGTCTTAGAAATGCTGCATAGCAGCCTGAGCTACAAACAGACACTCTGCTAGGATAGCAACAAAGAAAATACTTGGTAAGGGATTTTTTTTAAGGTAACTTAGGATAAATGTTTCATTTTGTCATTCAGACCCCTATGTGACTTGGAATTCCTAAGGAATCATGCAGCATAGGTTGCATGTATTTCATGTTGGTATTCCATGCCTTTTCTTTTTCTGTTGCCCTTCACAAGAAGTGAAGGGTCTCCCTGTATGATCTTTCCTAGCTTGCAGTAAGACAGCTGGATATATGTGAAAGATTGAATGGCAACTCTGCTTCAGCTTAGAGCAGACTATGAACTCTGAAACCTATTAAATGTTCGTTGTGTCGGGGAGAAAGTAAGAATTCAAAATTCACATTCAGAACAAATGATAGGGCCAAATGTGGTGTAGTATTCACTAACAGGACACCTATGCTATTTTGTTTAGTGCTTTGTAACACAAATATCTGTCATAAAGGTCTGGAAACAGAACTAATGCACTTTGATAGTGTCTCCCCAGTATTTTTAATTTTATTCCATACAGTTTTGTTCTGCTCAATATTATTCCTTAGTTAGCAGTACTTTCAGTCCTCTTTACTCATGAGATCTGCAAGACTGTGTTGTGTTTCCAATCTGGGATGGTAAACATTCATTTATTTATTTATTAAACAATAGTCTTCACTGAAATATGTTAATAGCAAGAACTACCTTTACACTGGATTTTGCTCCTTTTCATAAAGTTCTTGGTTCTCGCACGTAGGCTTCTGCATGCATCATGGGCAGGACTACTTTTGCATTCCTGAAGTGAGTCTTGTTCTTCTTACTGTGATTGTCCCAGCTTAATGTTCAGCAGCTGGTGGCCAGTTTCTCCCATTGTCATCTAATGGGTCAAATGCTGCCAGCATCAAAGTAAACTGCTTGTTTTGCTTAATGGTACCACATACTAATAGTATTAATGATATTTCAGGGCACAACAGGCCAGCTCATAAGCAAAGTCCTCATATTGTGGCCGTAAAGAAAGTTTACATCCAGACAAGGAAGCAGAAGAAGCTACACTTTATTGTGGGTGGGCATGCCTATCTGCTGCCCAAAACCTCTGTTATTCTCCGATGCCCCACAAGGAGGTTCCGGAAGTCAATGATCTTCTGGGAGAAGGATAACAAGAGGCTCATCAGCTCAGCTCACATCACCATTGCACCCTATGGGTACATGAAAATCCATCGTTTGAGGCCTTCAGACACTGGGATATATACCTGCATAGCAGGGCCAGCCCGGGAGCATTTTGTAATTAAACTAATAGGAAGCAACAAAAATCTCATTGCTGGGCAGCCAGCTGGCATTAGGGAGGAAGAGGCCATGAGAAAGTCCGGTCTAAATGAAGCCTTGCGAACACAGGAGAAACATATCAATGGGATTCTCTTCAATGGAAGCAAGACTGAAAAGCGAGGGCATCTTGCTGACCCTAGTGGCTGGTATGACAATATTGTCTCAAGGTTGCTACAGCACAAGGGCTGGCCAGGGGGAAATCTGGAGTTCCGTGAAGCCCAGGAGTCCACAGAGAGAAATGTGTCCTCAGAGGAAGACCAGAGCCAGGAGTATAGCCTGCCATATACTATGGTCACAGATCAGAAACAGTTGGATGATATCATAAGGAATTTGTCTCAGCAACCTGAGGAGCTTAAAGATATTTACACTGAGCAGATTGTTGTACAGTTGGCTCATGAGATTTTCAAGAGCCACTTGGAGCATCAGGAATCTGTCCTCAAAGCATCAAGACGAAGAGTTGATTCAGCTTCCATGGAATACCCTTTCCACAGACATGTTTCTGGATTTACCAGCTCCTTGAGGACATCATCTGCTGAAGCATTTCTTCCCACCTCTATGAACCCAACGAATGGCTTGCACAGCCCTCATCAAAAGCCTGCCATCCTCCGAAAGATTTCAGCAGCACAACAGCTTTCTGCTTCAGAGGTTGTCACCCACCTGGGACAGACAGTGGTTCTAGCCAGTGGCACACTGAGTGTGCTGCTTCACTGCGAAGCAGTGGGAAACCCAAAGCCCACCATCAGTTGGGCTAAGAATGGAGAGGAGGTGAAATACAATGATAGGTAAAATAAATTATTTAACTTTTAAGAAAACAGCTAACATTTTTACTCTTCAGTTTCTATGTTTTAAGGCCAGTCAATCCTACAGGCAAAACCACTTTTTGCTGTAGTCTGATTTCACAGCTGGAAGAAGGGCTTATAAATGTAGTGGCAAGCAGGGCAGTGTAACTGCAGCAAGGTCTAGATGCTGACTCAGTCTGGTATGGCAATCCAGACTTACTTTTGTTTTAGTAAATAAAGTTATTTTAAAGTATGTAAATAAATAAGTTCTTAGTGCAGTCAAAAAAAAAAAAACACTCCAAGTCTGGAGGCTGAGAGCTTTGCTGTGCTTTCCTATGTGAAGGTAGAAATTTCTGATATGAAGATTGGTTTTGGTGTACATTGATGATATCTGGGTTATTTTCAGATTTTAGAGCTAATCCACAGGATAGATAGGGCTGTTTTGCGAATCTCTCTGGCATTGTTTTAGATTGGTTCCAGATTCAGAAGGATATTTTTGAAGTATACATTTTCATTACTGATCACAGAGGTACAGAGGTACTTGAAATTAAATATGGAATTTAATTTTCTGTCAACCATCCTGCAGTACTGTTCCCTGGGGAAGGGTTCATCCTCTGTGTTCATTCATCTGCAAGAACACACAAAAAGAGACTGTTCCAATTCCAGTTGTATACTTAACTGTGTTCATACCATACATTTCGCTCACGTATACGCTTCAGATTTTTCTACTTTTGTGCTGTTCTGTGAGGAGGTGGTATGTAAGTATAGAAAGGTAAAGTGTGGATGAAGCAGTGGTTTTAGCTGACATGATTACAGTGAAACAGTCCAAGGATCTGCTAGGAGCAATTTCTGCACAGGATGGTAACCTCTGTTAAGACATCTGAGTGGGTCATCTTCAGATGAAAAGAGACAAAGTAAAAATTAGTTCACAATTGCAGTGCTTATGAATTGTCAGTGCAAACTTGATTTAGTGAAGATAAATTGCTTCTTCTGCATAGTTGTATGATTAGTTTACTAGTTTCTTTCTCACTTTGGCAGCCTAGCAATTCCATAATCACTGCTTTCTCTAATGTACTAAATTTTCTGGTTCTTTTCTCTCTTTCTATGTCTGATGGCTATTCAGTATAATAGGATTCACATTAAAAAATGGAAACTTTTGCAGGGGAAAGGGAGACAAAGAGCAGGAATGTATCTCTTAGAGAAATCACATGCAATCTTTATTGAGACCTAGACCTATCATATCACTTTATTTGGCCATACTCCTGTAAAAATATATTCTTGGCCCCCCAAAAGTTGCATATATAAACGTTCACTGCCATTGATTACATCCTGTTGGAACAGTGCCATTAAGGGATTTTTTTTCTCTATTTGAAATGATTGAAAGGAAAGTGAAGTTACATAGAGTCCGTGTGTTGTTAACTCTGGACACTGTGCTCATGAGAAAATTACACATTCATCTCACAGCGTATAAGCAGCCATAGCGTAGCTACAGACTTATTTTTGTTCAGTTGGTGACAAAACAGTTATGATTTCTGAACTTTTAGTTTTAATTATATATTTTTTTATTTTACAATGCCTTTCTTTTCCATTCAGTTTGGCTGATATAGGATTAAGCTATATGCTGCACTTCTGAATAACCAGTCAACTACGTTAGCTTAAATTTTCTATCATAAAGACTCAATAAAGCATGGTTTATTTGCAGGTTAGTGGCATTAATCATTGACCCCTCTTCTTTAATGATTGAGGCTTTTATCAAGCCTAAGGATTTTATCAAATTCTTTATTCATCAGTCATATTTCCACCAGTTTTTTTGGGTAGGGAAAAAAATGAGCAGTGCTTTGAGCTTCAGAGATACTCAGCATCTTAGAGTTAACCTTAGAGTTAATGCAAGTTTAGAAATTACAGTGCATATAAAAATTGGTTTATGAATGTTTTTCTGGGTTCTTCACAGCTGTGCTCTGGCTTTGGTTCAAAATGCTTTTACTGGTTGCCAGTCAGCTGTGTAAATGAAAGCCACAGTTTAAGCAGTCTCCCACTGTATAGCAGCATGCTGCAAGGTCATCTATGTGTGGTGGTGCATGGTAAGCTTGAGCTGTCTGTCAGCTCTGCAGTTTGTCTTCTTTGTGCTCTGCCATCCTCTGCCTGAAAAAAAGGAACTCAAGCTCTACTGAGACTCTGGTTGTATATGTTTTGTGCTGATTTTTAGAGGATAAGCTACCATTTTTTAGGGTAGATGATGGCAATCTGTAGCGTGTATTATCTCATATGAGATGAAGCCACTGTCACAAATCGCAGTGTGGATGTTACCATGGATGTTGCCATGATGACATGGCAAGGTGTCACAGGAATGAATGACCTTCCATTACTTATTTCAATGAGCAGTGCAATCCACCCTAAAAGTAATTATGACTCCTACTGCGTTGCTCCACTTGCAAAAAATGAATTTATTTAGCTTTAGTCTCTGTACTGGCACAACAAAATGTAACATACTCCCAACAAAAGTGTTCACTTTCACTTTTCAGTAGAACAAAAGCTGTGTGGTTCCAATTAAAGATCTTTGACTTCAGTCTGTGTATTCAGTGTGAATGCATAAGTAAGACCTCTTTTTAGGTTAAAGTGTCAGGTAGATAACAGCATCTATTCTGAGTGCAGCTTCAGAGCATGCTAGTATCTATCCCAAAGCCTGAAGAATTCTATAAATGCTGGAAAATATTTCATTTCCAAAAGAATCAGATTACTTTCCTTAGAAAACTATTTTAAATGTGAAAATATTTGGGGGATTTGTGCTTTGTTCAGTGAGCATGGTAAGACATATCTCTTCCTTTCTTCCATGAGTGCTGCAGTTTCCATCAGTGGAAACCCTTTGGTATTTGGTAACTGAACATTTCTAAAAGAGCAGTGTATTTTTGCAGTAGATGCGAGAAGAATCTAAATAATAGTTAGTACAGAGTCTGAGCTAGGTGCTTGCTAGATGCTGTCTGAATTAGTCACTGATCTAGGTCATGTACAACATATTTTTTTTGTCTTGAAGACAATGCAATGTGGAGAAATTGAGATGAGACTGATTAAACATTAAGCTGTATTATTTTAAGTCCATAAATGAGATTCTGAAGACACAGTGGTGACAGAAAGAATTGCTGCAGCTGGTATTTTTTACACTGCTGACAAGCAACTGAAAACCTAACAAAAATAGCAGTCTATGAGCAAATAGGGAAACCAGCCAAAAATCATTCTATACAAAGGGGGGACAACAAAGGATCTACTTTCAAGAAAAGCAGCTATGCCAAATCGTGACACACAAATAACAGAATTATTGAAAAGAAGAGGACCTTTATTTTCTAGAGAAGGACATTAAAAGTAGATTGAAAAGGTGATAAGTTAGGTCTGTTTTGGAGTTTGTATTATTAAAACCTGTTGTCTATATGGCTTATTTCTATTCCTAAAAAAAAAAAAAAAAAAAAAAATGTACTGAGTTTTGGAATCACTTAAAGTACCAGAGATTTACATCAGCAGCACTGATTAACAGCAAATAAATTATCTTTTGTGTTTTTCACAGTGTAATATTAAGAATTGTCTTTTCTCAATCTGGAGGAACTTTTCTAAATGTATTTTTAGTTGTTCATGTTTATTTGATGTAGAATGGACTGGTCAGCCCTGGCAGAATATTTGCACACATGCAGACAGCACATGCACAGTTATAACTATTATAAACAAGTATAATATAAATGGGGTAAATTCTAAAATTCTATGTAGAGACAGGACAAGTAAATACTATACAAACAAATTTACCTGGGAGATACTGATGCATGCTAACAGAAGATTTGTAATTAAAGAAATGCTGGCCGCTAGCATTGTGAGCAGCAGTTAACTAGAAATCTCCTTTTGACTCTCCTGAGTAGCCAAAAAAAAAAAAAAAAAGAGCCTTGATATAAGTGTGCAGGGGATTATTTCCACCTCTGTGGCTTTTTTGCTGTGCAAGCAAAGATGCAACTTTAGAAATGGTTAATGTTTGTTTTGTAAGTGTGCATTTTACTAGGTACTTGCAAAACTTGGTTGACATAAGGCAGCTCTCTCCTCTTACTATTGATGATGATGATGATGATGATTATTATTATTATTATTATTATTATTATTATTATTCAGAAAAGGGTCAAAAAAGAATTTCAACTAAATTCCTTTAATTCCTTTTCTATAATATATTTTGATGGATGGCCCTAATCTGGTTAGCTACCACCCACAGTGTTTTGCGAGATCAAGTATCTCCTATTTTTCTAGACCAGAAGACAACAGTTCTTATCTAAGGAGGTTTGGGGAAGAAGCTGATCAGTTCCAAGATCTGAGAGTGGACTTTTTTTGCTTGTGTTTTGTAGACATCTTCCTCCCCTACTTTCACTCTTATCACTGTCAATCACAGCTGCAGCTAAGAAGTTTACGTGGAACAACTGTTTAAAATTTCTGATGAGAAATTTAATTTATCTTTATGATTTAGCAACAGTTTCAGCTACAGATTAAAAGCAATAATCACAATATGTGTAAAATGAGAGTATGTGAACACTGATGAGAGCCCACAGCCTGAATTCTTGCTTATACATCAAGAACTCATGAAGTTTTATCACTATAAAAACTGACTATGAACAGAAACAGTTAATCACAGCCCTAGGACTGTATTCATCCCACCTAGCTATGGGCAGTGCACTGATACCACATTCTCAGACCTCTTATTGGCAGAGACAGTTGGTTCATCCCAAGGAGGTGATGAGTATTATTTTCTGTCTTCACTGCAGTAGTAACAAAGCTACTAAGTTTAAACAGACTGCCTACCAATCTAAGAACCTGGAGTGTATTTCAGACTTTGGTACTAACTTGGAGCTTATAAAACTTTATTCTGCCCAGCTTTAGGGCGTTGTATAACTTCTTTTGCAATATGATGTCTTTTTGTTTACTATTGCTAATCCTGCTTTGCCAAACTGGAAGACAGAGAGGGTAGGCAACTTGACTGATACCACATATGAAGTAACACGGCAGAGGAGGAGGTTTCACATGCCACAGATGGATGTCCTAGGCACTGGGCAATCTTTCTCAAATACACATAGTAACAGTAGCAGTAGTGGGAATTAGGCTAAAATTTAGTTTTAGTAATCACAACTCACAGCTGCAATGTAGGATTTTGAATTAATTAATTGTATTTTAAATATAGTCTTAAGGCTTGACCTGTAAAAAAGATAAAATCATGTGAATATGTAAAAATCCAACTAAATATATTCATTCTGACACAAACTGAGACCTTTACCTCCTTTCTGCTTTACTCTAGGATGCTACTTCAGCCTGATGACTCCTTGCAGATTCTAGCACCTGTGGAAGCTGATGTGGGTTTCTATGCTTGCAACGCATCTAATGCTCTGGGATCTGACTCTGTGTCCATTGCTGTCACTCTAGCAGGTAATAATTCACTTATTTTGATAGCACAGTGGTCCCTGCCACTTGTGTGATTCTGAACAGAAATAGTTTGCTGGGGAACAGATGGGTCTGGAAGATGGGTGGGGAAAGTGAATTGACAGAGTTACTTAGTTGTAAAAACAAAACCCTGAATCACAATCCTACTTTCACAGACAGTTCATGAGATCTGCGTTTCTACAAGAGATCGATGCTTTTTCTCACTTGCTAAGTTGGAAGGGCATTCTCAAAACAGTGCTTATCCTCTTTATTCTCAATTACAAGCAGCGCATTCCGAGCTGTCCAATTTGTATGCTTTGTTTTAAACCTGTTGCTGCTCTTTTCAAGTTTGACAGACTCAAGAACTTATTCAGATATAAGTTTAGGAAACTTGCAAAATACTAATGCAGGAGAACTAGCCCCATGTCAGATCATGCCCTGTATTGTGGCAAAAACATGACTAACGCTCTCCATTGCTGGTTAACAAAATATTAATTTCTGAGTTTATATTTCACTAGTAACAGTTCAGTTCTACTAAAGACTAAATAATCTTTGTTAGTTTAGATGGCAGTGCTGGGGAAGCCCCACCCAAATAAAAGACAGGAAAAAAATGGAAGTAGTGCATAAATGCAGCTTCTAAAAAAGCAGGTTATTAGGCATTGTCAGCAGCCTCACAACCACATCAGGATTGGAGTACCAGGAACACAGCAGCAAACATGAATTAGAAGCTGTTGGGTAAAGACAAAGGGATAAATGAGAGTTGCAGTTAAGGACTGTGACAAGACAGATTGCAAAGAAGCAAGATCCTACTTGTCACAAAGACAAAAGGAAACATATTAGCAATGCTAGAAAGCTAATTAACTTTTCATACTTGCCCATTTCATTGTGCCCACTCCAGAATGGGGAAACAGTTGGAGGTCTCCACTGTATATACACATATGGTTTTTTACGCCAAACACAGAATTTCAAATTGGACAAACATGAAGAAAATCTAAGTATGCAGCTACAGATAGCACTGAAGTTCTCGCAATTAGTAAACCAACCAGAAAGAGGCTGCCTTTTGTCCCATAGAAGGAAAACATCAGAATCACTCAAGGCAGAAAAGAAAGAGCTATTTATTACATATAGACAAAACAAGAAACTGATCTTTTTGCACTATTGCAGATCAGGAATAGCTTTGTTGAAGCCAGGACATCAGGGCATTGGTGTTGCTGCTAAGGTACTGCAATGATATACTAGGAACAAGTGAACAACAATTTCTTTTCCATCCTTAATGATTCTATGATTCTATGTTTCATCTGAAAATACAGCACTGAGATGAAAACACCCCAACCCTATACCATTTAAAGCAGTGTTGTCATACTATGCCCATTCTGCCAACACAGAATCATAGAATCACAGAATGACCAAGATTAAATAAGACCTCCAAGATCATCCAGTCCAACTGTTCACACATCATCAATATTTCCCACTGAACCATGTCCCTCAGTACAGCATCTAAATGATTCTTGAATACCTCCAAGGTCAGTGACTCCACCACCTCTCTGCAAAGCCCATTCCAGCACCTGGCCAGTCTTTTGCATAAGCAGTTTTTCCTAACATCCAACCTGAATCTGCAGACAGAGGGTGGTCATCAATGGCTCTATGTCCAGGTGGAGGCCGGTAACGAGTGGCGTCCCCCAGGGGTCTGTCTTGGGACCGGTGCTCTTTAACATCTTTATCAATGACATCGATGATGGAATCAAGTGCACCCTCAGCAAGTTTGCTGATGACACCAGGCTGAGTGGTGCGGTCAACACGGTTGAAGGAAGGGATGCCATTCAGAGGGACCTCGAGAGGCTAGAAAGGT